GGGGGGGGGGGGCGATGTGGTGTCACAGGCCAGTGTCAGCCTTCCTGCTCCCCGTCCCTAAGCCTGCCCTTGAAAGCTGCCAGGACTGCCAGTCTGGGGTCCTGCCTGTAGCCTCTACTCCCATCCCCACCATTTGAAAACTGATAAACAACTCCGCTCCAATCCAGAGAGGTCTCCACTCCCAACACCCACTCCCTGCTCAGGGTCCCTCGAGGCTTGCCCTGGGGCCGCTGTCCCTGGCCAACACCCGTGGTCCTTCTAGGAGCTGGAGCAGCAGCTGATGATGGAGAAAAGGGGCTACAGGAAGACCCTCAAGTTCTACCAGAAGCTGCTGCAGAAGGAGAAGCGGAGCAAAGGTACCAGCGGCTAGGCACAGGGAGCTCAAACTGGGAATGCCGCCGCTCACGGGAAGCCGGACAGGGAGGGTAAAGCAGTGCCTTGGAAGCCAGGCCTGGTGACCTGTTGTCCAAGCTTACCCACTGCTGTCACGCCTGCTGTGCTGCCCCCTGGGAGCCCTGCTGAGGCACACAGGCTGCCAGGAGTCATCGAGGTGACAGCCTGATGTTTGACGGCTCCTCTGTGCAGGCTCTGAGGTCAAGATGATGCTGTCCAAGTTGAGAGGGCAACTGGAAGAGATGAGGTCCAGGGTGCAGTTCCTCAGGCTGGTCAAGAAGTACCTACAGGCAAGTCAGCCTGGGCCCCAAACGGTCAGTCCTGCATACCCTGGACAACTCAGCCTTGGCCCCAAAGGGTCAACCCTACACACCCTGGACAGGTCAGCCTGGGCTCACAGGCCGGTGACTAGGTTTCTTCCCACTAAGCAGTCTCCCGGAAGGGGTGAGCTGTGCCTACCTCCTGAGTGGCCATTGGTAACTAGGAGCCAGGCTGCTGGGGGCACAAGCCAGGTGGCAGCCACGCATGTCCCCCAGGTAAGGGCCACGCAGGTGCAGGCCCAGTGGACCGCTGGCTCTCTCCCCAGGTGGCCTACGCTGAGCGGTGGGGCCTGGAACCCAGCACCCTGCCGGTGATCGTGAACATTGGGGCAGCCCATTGTGGGGCCCTGGACTTCACCCCACTGGATGAGTCCTCCTCCCTCATCTTCTACAACGTCAACAAGCCCTCGTATGGGGGCAGCAGCTGCAGCAACAGGCAGAAGGCCCGGGTCCTGCAAGCTGGCACGCCGCTTGGGCTCATGGCTTACCTGTACTCCAGGTGTGCTCAGGTGGGGGAGCGGGCACCTTGGGCCATGAGCCTCCGAGAGCAGAGGAATGGACATGCCTGCCCGACTGCCACTAGACTCCTGTGTCTGGGGCGCAGGCGTTCCACTCGGTTCTTAGCTGACCTCTGAGTGGCCGCAGGGCCACTAGCCACTGCTGGATGTCCAAGGACAGGTGTGTCTGGGTCAGACTGTGCCAAGAACAGCGGGCACTCCAGTCACGCCATCCATGCCACTGCTCACTGCAGGGTCACACGGGCCCTGGATGTGCCCGAGCCCCACTGAGGGAAACCAATGCCCGGTCCTGCCTCCCCAGTTCATAGGCTAAGCCTTCCCCTCCCCAGGGGCCACGAAGGAGCAGGGCAGAGAGGTCAGAACGTCCAGGGTCACCTGCAGCTGCCGGGGTCCTCCTGACTGACACTCTTCTGGCCAAGGACACCAGTCATGCACGCTTACTCACCTGACACACACCCATCCACTCACCTGACCCCCACACATGCATGCTCACACCATACCCACTCACCCCGATATGCACACTCATATGACATCCACACATGCTCGTGCATGCCAACACCCAGGCACTCCCTCACCTGACACCCACTCAGACATGCTTTCACTCGACACCATCACATGGACACTCACTCACCCAGCGGTACACTTACACTCAGCCCAACGCAATCATTTGCACCCATTTGTACGCACCCCATAATTCACGCTTCTCCACTCACCGACATATACTTAGCACTCACACTCACTCCAATGCTCACTCTCACATATACACATCGGTCTACAATGAATGCACACCTAATCGTAAGCACTCACTTGTTTATGCGCGTGCACATGCGCGCACATACTGAATGTACTTGCCCCAACATGCTCATTCCTCGCTCAGCCACACACCCATGCAGTCACACGTGCATATCTACACCCACCCACACATTGCTGTCACGTGCACAGGCACACTATTACACACACGCACACCAGGACACTGCAGCCACAGTACCACACACATTCTCCCAGTGACACATAGCCTGACCGTCATGCACTCAGTAACACACACGCACCCTGTCACACTCAGGATAGGAGTGCTGTGACACTGACACACGCAGAACTGTGAGACATGATGGGCCCCGTTCCTGCCCACCCACCAACACACTCCAGAACTGCTAAGAATGCAGGGTCCTCCTCCCACCCCCCTGGGGCAGGACCGAGGCAGAGGTGAGTGTCCTGAGGGGAGGAGGACGGGGGCCACCTACTGGGCAGCGTGGGTGTGCCCCTCAGTCATGGGCCCCTGATGGGCTGGCGTCTCTTGTCCGCAGCAACGCCTTCCTGGAGGGCTACGTACAGCAGTTCCTCTACACCTTCCGCTACTTCTGCACGCCCCGAGACTTCCTGCTCTTCCTCCTGGACCGCCTCAGGAGCACCCTGTCCAGGTAGCAGCAGCCGTGCTGCACCAGTGGGACTGGCTCCTGACCTAGCCGAGGGTCCTCCCAGCTGGGGGAGGGCAGAGGGGGAAGGCCAGCCAGAGAACTCGGAGGAACAGAGGTTGGGCCATGGGAGGCTGGGAGTATGTGGACAGAGCAGCAGGACCAGCTCGAGGTCAGTGGCAGGAAGTCAGGAGGGTGGGCACCTCGGGGTCCAGAGGAGCCCGGTGACTGCTCCTGAGTGGGAGGGTGGGGAGAGATGGTGCCCCTTGACCCTAGGGCAAGCTGGGGCCTCTAGGCAGGGCTGAGCCTGGCAGCGGGGGTGGGGGGGTGCACAGTCAAGGGGAGAGATGGGAGGGTCCTGGGGGCTCGGTGTCCTGTTCTAGGGGAGACCTAGGAAAGGCTGCTGATGAGCAGCAGCACTTATGGAGAGATGGGGTACCCGCCTCAGAGAGGGTGGGTCTTCTACACCAACATAGGAGGAAGGAACAGAGTGGGCAAAGGCATTTGGGGGTAGACAAGCCAGCAGCCAAGACAGGGGGCAGTGATAAGGATGGCGGGTACCACTCCCCCAAGATGCCCCTGTGCACTGCTCCTCACCTAGATGGTTTGGTTCCTCCCCTCCCCCGCCAACTCATCAGCCCTCCTGGGGTTGGAGGTGCTAGAGGATTGCTGCAAGGCCATAGGGTGGAGCTGCCCCATCTGTTCTGCCTACGCCCCATACCAGCAGGAAAGGGTTGACACCCCCTTGAAGACATGCCCACACACCCACACTTGGGCCCCTATGTGTCTGCAGGGCCCACCAGGACCCCACTTCCACCTTCACCAAGATCTACAAGCGCAGCTTCTGCCTGCTGCAGGCCTGGGTGGAGGACTGCTACGCCGTGGACTTCATCAGGAACACCGGGCTTCTGGGCCAGCTCCGGGCCTTCATCTCCTCCGAGGTGACCCAGGGTGGAGGGATGCTGGGGCCATGGGACATTGGGCTCATCCGAATGGTGGCAGCCCCCAATACCTGCTGATTCTCCTGCCTAGGTCCTACCCCTGGACAGCTACGCCGAGCGCCTGCTGGACCTGCTGGAGCTGAGCTCAGACCGGCGGGGTGAGGGGGCCCTGCATGGCGGGGACATGGAGGACCCCAAGGAGGCTGAGGATGACAGCCGGCCCCTGAATGTCCTCTGCCGGAAGCTCTCAGAGGACGGCCTCTCCCGGAAGGTGGGCCTCTCCCCAAGCCCCCTTCCTGGCCCAGCCCAGGCCATGCGAGCACAGTCACGCACACACCTGCATGCACACATATACTTGTGACATAACACACAAAGAACCTGAACAATGCCCTGCTGGGCAGGAACATCCCACCTTGGCCTAGGTTGGGGATGGGATGCAGCCAGGGGCTCCGATAAGGGCCCTCAGTGACCCGCTGACCTCACCCACCTGGCCCTCAGAGGAGGCTGGGGTGGAAGAGCCCACTGCCCAGAGGTGGCCTGGGAGAGGGCAGGGTCTGAGGTAACCTGGGAACTACATGGGGGCAGCTGCCCTCAGAGTAGACAGGGGCTCTTGACCATGCCCACACCTTCCTGCCTGACCCTGGGGCCATGGGAAGGGCCCCATAAGGGGAGTGGGGAACTCCTGGGACCTTAGGAAGGCCCTGGGGGGGAACAGTGGCTGGTAGGGGTGGGGGCACCCAGGGCTACAGGGAGGCCCTGGGGCAGGCACCGGGGATCCCTGGCCCTGGGGGTCCTTAGTTCTGCCTGGCCCACAGAGCTTCCCCTGGCGACTGTCCAAGGGCAATGGACTGGCACCACCAACTCCCAAAGAGCGCCAGTACTCCATTGCGTCGGCCCTGCCCAAGCCCTGCTTCCTGGAGGAATTCTGCAGCCCCTATGCCAAAGCCAGCGAGAAGGGGCCCTACTTCCTGACGGAGTACAGCACCCACCAGCTCTGCACCCAGCTGACACTGCTGCAACAGGTGAGCCCCGCCACTGCCGCTGCCAGGACCCCAGACCCATGCACCTCAGAAGGGAGCTGTGGTCGCACGCTCACACTGGGCTGGGCGCTACAGGGGTCCCCGCTCTGGCTGGGTGGTCTCCGCACCCACATGCCGGGGCCCACCTCCTGTGGGCTCTCTCATCCTTTGCCCCTCCTTGCCCACACACCAGGGTTCTCCCTGCCCACTGGTGACCCCTTCATCTGAGTCTCCTCCAACCCCTAAGCCCTGAAAACACCAGGGGATGCCCTATGGCCCTCGGATGGATTCCATCCCTTGGCCCCTTGATGCTGTGCAGAGGGGCCAGGGGTTCAGCCACAGCTAGGGGGGCCTAGTGTAAGCAGCCCCCAGTGACAGGCTCAGCTATCCCACCCTGTGCCCCTCACAGCAGGCAGCACTGGCCCCTGAGTGCCCAGAAGGGTGCCACAACCTACGATCACTGTCTGCTGACCCTGGCCCACTGATCATCTGTGGGAACGCTCGCTGATTGCATAGCTGCCTCCCAGGCCCCCGTGTCTCCCGGGCCTGTCTGACAGGCTTCTGGGACGGCAGCCTCCTGAGTGCTCTTGGTCCCACAGGAGCTCTTTCAGAAATGCCATCCAGTGCACTTCCTGAACTCTCGGGCCCTGGGGGTCACAGACAAGAGCCCGGCCATCCCACAGTAAGTCACGCTGCCTCGGGGCAGCCGGGCCCTGGGGGCTCAGGGGGCTCGGGAGGTTTCCCAGATGCCCAAGCAGGGGTGGCTTGTTTCACTCATGGGGTTCAGCCCCCACATGACTCATCAGGAAAGACCTTGGAGGCAGATGGCCCCCTTGTGCAGCCCAGCATACCCTAGATGCTTAGTGCCACCACCGCATGGGCGTCTTAGAGCCTGCGACATCCATGAGACAGATCTCCATGGAGTCCTATGTGCTCTCCCGGTGTAACACCCATGATGCCCTCACATGAGGTCCTGTGTCCTGTGACATCCTGAGCGTGGTGGCCTCCTGAGATGTCCTTGTGTGTGGAGTCCCATGTGCCTTCGTGTGAGAGGCAGTGTGTCCACGGTGTGTCCTTGCGTGGCAGCCTCAGGTGACCTTCCCAGAAGATGGTCAGTGCACCTGTCTGTATTCCAGAGGCATCGAGTCTGAGTCGCTATGGGCCAAATCCTGCAGCTTGTTTCTGCCAGATTACAACCAGGACAAGTACCTCTTGCAGCTGCTGCGAAATGCTGATGATGTCAGCACCTGGGTGGCTGCAGAAATCGTGACCAGCCACAGCTCCAAGGTGGGCCTCACTCCTCGGCCAGAGCTGATCAGTCAGCATAGGCCAGGGGCCAGGACCAGACCCTCGCTTGTGCTGAGGGGCTGGCTATTTCCCGGGTGCAAGACGACAGTGGCACCCCTCTGACACAGGCTCCCTGCGCTACTGGGATGCTGCCTCCCTCCCCGCGGGGCATGTCCCCCTACCTGGAGGTTGACATCCACATGTGCACAGACATGTCTATACAGTACGTGCTGGCACACATGCATGCACTACACACGCAGTCCCAGTCTCACATGTGAACAGTACCTCAGACACAGGCGTGCTCTGCCTCCGAAACGGGCATCTGCATCTCCAGACAGGAGACCCTTCCTACCCCCACCCTCCCCACTCCTACCACCCAGGGGAGACCACCGAGGTCTGTGTGGACCCGGCTTTGCCTTTGAGAAGCTGGGTACCTTTTCACATCTGCACGGCTACTCGGCATTGACTCACCTTTGAGGTATTCTCAAATACAGCCCCTGACTTTCTGCCCCACCAGGAGGCTGCAGCAGGCTTGCTGTAATCAGTCCCCAACACCACCACCACCAGGGTCAGCTGCAAGGCTGAGCACTGCATGCTGGTTTCAGTTGCAGGTGAATTTGCTGTCCAAATTTTTGTTGATCGCCAAGTCTTGCTATGAGCAGAGGAACTTTGCGACCGCCATGCAGATCCTGGGGGGCCTGGAGCACCTGGTCGTGAGGCAGTCCCCCGTGAGTCCCCAGGAGCAGGTGTTGGGGGGGGGGGGCAGCGACCCTGGGAGGAGGGCTGCCCGAGCCAGGGTGACTCACTCATGCCTCTGTTCCAGGCCTGGCGAATCTTACCCGCCAAGACTGCAGAAGTCATGGAGGAGCTAAAGGCCGTGGAGGTGCGTTTGTGTGCAGGCTGCTCCTTGGCTATGTGCCCTGCACCCAGGGGTGGCCCGGAGCACACAACACACACGGGGCTGGGCACCCAGCTGGCCTCACCAAGAGCCAACCACGCTGGGCCTCTGCCACTCACCTGCGTGGAGGAGGCCGGGGTCATGTAGTCCCACCGGAATCACCTGGCCCCTGCCTTGCTGGTCTGATGCCCAGTGCAGGTCCTCGCCATGTCGAGGCCAGAGCTCCCTGCCTCACCTGCTCAGACACGTGCACACACACACACACGTGTTCCTGCAGGGGCCAAGCGCAGGCAAGGCCAGGTTCTGGACGCAGTTCCCTCTGACTGGGCTCCCGGCAGGGCAGGCAGGAGCAGGACAGGGTCCCCTTGGCTGCCAAACTTCTGCTTCCAGTTTCTCTGTCCAGGCCAGGCTTCCTCGGTCCACAAGGGTCACTTGCTTTCTCGGGGAGAGCACTGAGAACACCAGTGTGCCACTTGCAAGGCCAGGGGCAAAGCCACACACTGCATCCAACGTCCAAGCTGCAGATAACCTCACCCTGCTTGCTCCTCCCCGCCCCGCCCCTCCAGGTCTTCCTCAAGAGTGACAGTCTGAGTTTGATGGAGGGGCGGCGGTTCCGGGCCCAGCCCACCATCCCCTCGGCCCGCCTGCTGGCCATGCACATCCAGCAGCTGGAGACCGGGGGCTTCACCATGACCAACGGGGCCCACAGGTGGAGCAAGCTCAGGTGAGGGAGGGTGGCCTACAGGTGAAATAAGCTCAGGTGAGAGGGGGCCCACAGGTGAGTGGCTCAGGTGATAGGGAGCCCACAGGTGAGCAGCTCAGGTGAGGCACCTCCTCTGGTGTTCCTCCTGAGACCCTGGTGCCTGTCCCCCCCATTGGGCCCAACCCCCTCCAGTCACTCCCTCCAGCCCTGGGGGGCCTCCTTGCTGCATCCCTCACCCTACCCCCACCCCTCCCCTTTCTCCCACCTCTGGGGGCTCACTGGGTATCCACCTGGCTGTGCCAGGTCTCCTCCACAGCCTCTTCCAGCTGCCATGGTCACATCACCTTCCAGGGGCTGGGAAGGGTGCCTCCTGCCCAGCACAGCAGACGCTGCTCTTCAGCAGTCGGGTTCGCCCTGTGCGGGACTGGGCCTCAGTGGCTGACAGCCCTACTTCCCGGGAACTGTTTGGGGAGTGAACATCGGTGGGTGGGTGGATGGACGGACAGATGAGTGTGCAGGTAGAGAATGGTGGACAGACATGTGCATGAGTGAACAAACATGAACATAAAGGCAATGGCTAGAGGGACAGCTGGGCACCTGAGTGGACGGAAGGGCGGGGGACAACCGATAACAGCTGTTGGGCAGGCGATTATAGGAGGGTCTTGACGAACCCTCCCTTCAGTGTTTGTACTGAAAAGCAGCATCTAACCGTTCATGCCAGGGCGCTGCCCTGGCCCGGCGTGACAGCCTCCTCTCATCCCCAACAGAAACATAGCCAAAGTGGTCAGCCAGGTGCACGCCTTCCAGGAGAACCCCTACACGTTCGCTGCGGACCCCAAGCTCCAGTCCTTCCTCAAGCAGAGGATCTCGAGATTCAGCGGGGCCGACATCACCATCTTGGCGGCAGACAGCAGGGCCAGCGTGCACCAGCTCACCAGCGAGAGGCACTCTCGCAAAATCCAAGACAAGTTACGCCGCATGAAGGCCACCTTTCAGTAACTCCCACAAGGCAGTGGGCGAACTCCGGGTCAGGGCAGGGCCTCCCGCTCCTCCAGTTCTGCACCCTCAGCGAGAAAGAAACGCAGCTCCCTGGCTTTACATAAGCGACCCTGGAGCCAGTAGGGCTGCGCGCTGGTGCAGGGCACCTCGCCCAGCGGCGCCTCAGAGACCAGACGGTGGGAGGTGGGGGCTGGAAGGCACCTGCCCCAAGACCCAAAGCACAGTTCATCCCCAGCATCGTAGGCAGGGCGGTGGGCTGGGGGGCTGTTGGAATTAAAACAGCAGGAAGTGGATGGGTCAGGTCCCCAAAGGCCTGGGGGAGGGGGGCACTCCATTCTCGTGAGCCACACCCTCAGACCACCAGGGTTCCCCCATTTTGGGTCACACCTCCATCCCCACCCCAGCAGAAACAGGGCCAAACCAGACCAGGAAAGCAAGCCTCTGGACAGGCACGCCCAACCCTGCTTGGGGGTGGGGGTGGGGGTGGGGAAGATACACACACACCAGGACACACACACCAGGCAGCTCACTGCCCCGCACACACCACACCACACACACACACACACACACACACACACGCAGCTCACTGCCCTGGACCACAGCGCCCTCCACTCCAGGACCCCAGCCCCTGGGAAGGCACATGCATCGACAGAAAAGGCTTTGCTTCCTCACAATGGGCCTGCAGCAGCACCGGGCGCCCGCCCACCCCTCAACCCACCAGGCTGCCACTCATGCTCTGTGGGCGGGGCGGCGCCAGGAGGTTCTTCCCGGGCCCTCAGGGCGCCAGGTGCCTGGGTCGGAGGTGGGGGTGGCAACAGGTTGCCCCCCTGCAGACTGGGCAAGCCCCTCATCAGTAGGGTCAGCTCACCCCCTGCCCTGGCAGCCAGCTCCGGGCGCCTCCAGTGTCTGGAGCGGGAGCCCAGCCTTCGTCAGCGCCACTGCGGGGTCCGGGCAAGCACGGGACGGCGCCCAGTGCAAGGAGCCCCAGCAGCGCAAGGGCCCTCCCCAGGCCGCGCTGCCCGCGGGGCCCCAGCTTCCGCCTTCAGCACGGCTCTAGCATGTCGCCGGCCGTGACCCGATGCACCAAGACGCAATGCAACACAACGCGACGCGGTTTCTAAATAAAACCATTTTTATCCTGCGCGTGTGCGTCGTGTCGGCAACCGCCCTTCCCCCAGCTCCCACTCAGCACGCCCTGAGCACCCGCCGCGCACTGCTAACCCGCACTGACCAGCGCGAGGGAGCCAGGGCCCTGCCGTGCCATCTAGGGGGCCGGATGGGGCCAAGGCAGTCTGGGAAGGGGTGTCATTCATATGACCTTGAGGAATCACCCCAAGCCAAACACACCCCACATCTGGTTAACATTTTAATCTGTGATCATAAGCCTGAGCCATTTTACATTTTCTAACCCCAGTTCGAGGTTTAGGTCTACGCCCGTGCTCTGCGGCCCTCACCCCTCTGACGTGCTTAGACTAGTCGCCAGACCCGGGTCGACCCCGGGACCTAAAGTGGAACCCTAGAGCATCCGGGTACTGGACACAAACCTGAGGAACTAGTTGCCCGCGCAAGCGCACCAGCCCCTAAGTAATGGCAAAACTGCCTACGCGGAAGCCTGTACTTTGCACTCCATTTGGGGGATCTGTTGCGTGTGGCCCCCAGTGGCCATACCCCAAGTCTGTAGACCCAGCTCCGGGCGCTCTCCGCCGCGGCTCACGAGTAAACAAACAGTGCCACATTGACCTCTTCCCTTCCTGGGGGCCACGGCTGGGAGCCCTTGAGAGGCATCCCCTAAGAGCGCCTCATATTGCGTGGCTCCAAGTGGGCAAGGGGCACTCCTGCAAGCTTATTCCCTCCGATGCTGCTCAGGCCGGAGTTGACTCGGCCCGGGCAGTTCAGAGGAAAGGCTCGGTGACTTGCGGCCCCAAACAACCCTTGGAATCCCTACTGGACACGGTTGTGCGCCTCCCAAAGGCCCACCCCGGCCAGACTGAGGCCATGGCAACAGGAGGTTGGGATTGATGGGCAAGGCAGAGGAGGCGGGGCCCGGGGTGAGCTGTGGGCAGAGCAGAGGTGGGGCGGGTTCCTGTAACTCACGTGACGCTGAGGGCCCGCGTAAAGGGATGCTAATAAGGGGTTGGGGGAATGGGAAGGTAGTGGGCAAGGTCATAGCGCTGAAACCCCAATACTACCCTGCCACATAGGCCGCCACGAGGCAGGTGTCCTGGAGAGGGACCCAGGCAAATGGAGCCCTGGGCTGGCAAAAGGCTGCTAGGGAAACTCCATCCAGAGGAACCCTGGCGATCGACTACTCAAAACCCGGCCACCGAGAGGTCCAAAGCCAGGGTACTGGAGAGGCACGCTTGAGTCCTGGCGGCTCCCGAGAGGCTCCTCACCGACTCCATGCACAACCCCCTACCATACACATCGGGGCAGCCAGGGCACTGGGTGACGAACAGCAGTGCCCACTCCGCAGAAAGGTGAGGCTTTCTACTCTTGTAAAAATGTACAGCCTAGGAACGGCGAGAGAAAGGAGAAGCTCACCGTCATCAGCTGCCCCTGTGGGTTTCCTGGGCTGTGCACCTTCACAGGAGCAGACGGCCTCTTCCTTCCCCTCCTCTCCCAAATTGCTGGCGGTTTCGAATTGCTGAGTTTTCCATCAGCAGCCTGCTTTGTAATAGACCCACCCCCAGGGCCCCTTCACACTGTTCAGAGGGCCATGGTAAGTCTACGACCAGACGGTGGGGCTGCAGGAGCAGTGTGACCTGGAAAGGGCTGTGGCCGGAGCCCCACGCAGTTTGGTAACCTGGCTCTGTCCAAGGAGAGATTGGAAATGAGGGAGGCATGTGGTGCAAGGGATGGGTTCCCCTGCATAGTAAGTATGAAGAATATGACGGGACCAGGGGCCTCCCACCCCTCCAGAGGGCAAGGGGTCCTGTGGAAAGAAGGCCGAAGGGTGGCTGCTTGTCCTCTGGATTCATTCTGGAACTTTCTCTAACAGGTCACCCTGGAATTACCTAATTAGAAGAGAGGGTCCATCACTTTGGTTGTCTGCAGGGGGAGCTGAGGCTCCTTAGAGAAGGCCACCTGTAGTCCGGAAAGCACCTTCTAAAGACTGTCTTTCAGGGAACAATGTATGTCAGCAAGTGTCCCTGAGTGGTTGGGTACCACTCTGTCCCTCAAATTCTCCCTCAGTCACTGTCCTCAGGGCTTGTGTACAGTAGAGAGATCCCTGACACATTCCACCACTCTTTTAAAGGTATGCTGACTGTGGGGTGGGAGAAAGACAAAGTTTTCTACTCCGCAGAGTTCCAGTGTGGGAAACCCACAGGAGCAGTCCTGCCCTGTCCTGTAGGGTCCCACTGAATTTGGTTTTGATCACGGGAAGGTTTGGTTTGAGTGGATTACACAGTTTTTCACAGCAGTGCACTGTTCTCACAGTGAAATATGTTTGTAACAAACGCTAGTCAAGTGAAAGGCTAGTTCTGGTCAGCTTTCTATGGCTGCTATAACAAGGTGCCAACAACAGTCGTGGAGGGAGACCAGCACCACCAAGGCCAAGTCCCCTCCCAAGGCGACAGGAGGGCCCTTCAGAGTCTCTTCCAGCTCCCCCGTGACTGCTGTCCCTTGGTTCGTGGCAGCATCACCCCCGCCTGACTTTGCCTTCAGGTGACCAGCCTCCCTCTCCGGTCCGTTTGTCTCTGTCCATAAGTCTGTTTCTCTCCTTATGAGGGCACCAAGTCACCTTAGTGGCCTCACCTTAACAAATGACCTCCATGCAAGGTCAGGGTGGGTGGGTTGAGGGGTGCATCATAAGCCACCCCTGGCCGGAGGCTTTCTTTATAGGAAAAATTTTAATTTCTAGTGCTATTGGTAAGTATGATGGCAACAAATGTACAGAAGCTCCAAAACCCTAACTAACGCAGAGGTGTGCTGAGCCTCTGCACTGGAGGCCTTGGATCAGCTCAGGGGGGGGGGGGCAACATGGAGCTTGCCAAGGCAGCGATGGAACCTGCTCCCGACAGACTGGTGGGGAGGGAGGGCCGTGTGCCAGCCAACACACTCGTCTCCCTTCCCAGTGCAATCCCAATCCAGGCCCAGTGTCGACATGGGCAAACTGGCTCTAATGTGCCTCTGTACGTGAAAAGCACATGGTCTTGCCGAGATAACCGAGCAGCAACAAGTTGGAGGGCTTTCCACATTTAGAATAAAGTGACAGAAATGGAGGGTGTGGAAGGACCGGTTGCATGCATGTCACGGTGGACACACACCCTCAGACACCCACCGCGACTGAGTCCGTCCCCAAGCACAGTGACCAGGGGCCCGAGGGTTTCCCAGTCTGTTCATCTTTCAGGAGCAGACAGCCTCATTTTATTCCTTTGGAGCGGCTGGTAGATTAGAACCCCCAACCTTGTGGTTAGCAGTGTAATTCTCAACCCGTTCCACCACAAATGGCAGGTGTTGACTTACAGTAGTTACAGATACTGAGAGTAGAGTGTTGGTGAGAGCCATAAAGTAGACATTGAGAGGGCACAGCCACGCACAGCCACACACTGACCCACCTGGGTGAGCCTTGTGGTTTACGGCAGGGATGGCCAACAGTTCCCTGGGGAGGCGTGACCTTGTCAGCAAGCAGGGGAAGGTGCAGGCTGCTAGATGGGGTCAGGGATAAGCAGAGATCTCTTAGCTACACAGCGCACACAGGGAATGGCCACAAAATCTATTGTACACCGGGTTTCACTAGGATTAAAGAGTGTTCATCCAAAGACACTATTAAGTCTGGAAAAGCAACCAGTCTCAATTACAAAGCAAGCTGTCCAGCAAAAGACCCCATCAAGACTAAAGGAAAAAAGACAAAAACTTCATGAGTAATTCCTCCGAAGCAGCATCAGAAGCCAACAAGTCATGTAAACCAGGCAAAGGCTCTGAAAGATGCCCTGGGGCCTAGTAAGCACGCCCTGGCCACAAACCAAGCTCCCCGCCATCAGTGGATGCCGACTCAACCAAGACCCTATTGGACAGGGCAGAACTGCCCCTGTGGGCGTCTGAGACTAACTCCTTGCCAATGCAGCCAGCCTCATCTTGCAGTTAGCAGCCCAACAGGTAACCAGGCTCCTAGCGTGCTCTCAGACAAACCAAAAACCACAGTAAGACTCCTCACTCACCCACCAGCTCAAAAAAAGCGGGGGTAAAAAACCCAGACATGACCAGGTGTCGCCCAGTGCAGCCCTTGGACCCCAAGCACTAGGGCCTCATCCAGAATGACCCTGTGGGAACCGTTTGGCGAGTCTGCTGAGCCTGACTAGGCTGTCCTGCTCACGTCGTCCAGCTCGGCGAGTCAGTCCCTGAGAACAGGGAGGGTCTGGCACGCAGCTTTGCTCAAAGAGCTCCAAAGAGAAAATGCTGCTGCTGCTGCTGCTGCTGCTGCATTCCCACTGGGAGGAGAACACAGCCAAGGATGAAAACCCAAACCACCTGGGCAGGCCCACTCACCGAGCCTCTAGAGGACAGGGTAGATCTGCCCCTGTGGGTTTCTTAGATGCTAACACTTCATGGGAGCAGTCTTGTCTATCTCCCTCAGAGCAGGTGGTGGTTTTGAACTGCCAACAGTGACCCCTGAGGCACCAGAGCTCCTAAAGCAGGAGACAGCGCTGAGATAATCCCAAACCATGGCACTGCACTTGGGAGCCCCCTCACACCAGTTCTAAGTGCAGGAAAGCCTGGCTGTTGGTGGTTGGGAGGCCTCTGGGCAGGGCCCATAGCTTTGGAGAGCTGACAGGCATGTGAAAATGGATGGAACTTCATCAACAAGGCAAGAAGACACCTACAGAGGGAGAAGAGTTTGGAACCCACACAAAGGGGCTTCAAAAAGTGCGTGAGAAAATGTAATTAAGAGACAAGGGGAATTACTGGATGAGGGGCTTTTACCACTTAGCCGGGGCCGGGCCTTTGGAGAGCACTGAATTTATGGATGGTGGTAGGATTTTTGAATAAGGATGGGTGCACACAACATCCACACACAAACACAAAACCACGGTCGCCATAAGGTTTCGAAGGAGGAAAGCGCTCAGGCTTCTGGTGCGTTTATTATCTCTCCACGAGGACGAGGGACCGGAGACCGGGGGCCTCACCCACTTTGCTTCTCTGGATGCACAGGAAGGAGCCAACCGGTCCACCGGCCTTCGGGGCTGGGGGCGGGAAGCGGGGGGCGGGCCCGTTGGGGCAGGGGGGCGGGGCCCGTAGACCCGGCTGCTGGGGCGATGGAGCAGGCGCCTAAGTCCTCAGAGCGCGTGTGGGCGGCACGTGCGGCGCTCGCATCCGGCTTCCCACTGGCCTCCCGCGCCTCTCTGGCGCCCCGCCGGCCCGGCCGCGGGATGCTGCTGCGGTCCCGACGACCTGCCCCACCCGTACAGCTCGAGACCCCGGAGCCTCCGTCGCCAGCCAGCCCCGAGCCGGAGCAGGGGCCGGCCGGGGACGCCCCGAGCACCCCCACTCCCGGCGCGCTGGCGGCGCCGGTGCTGCCCGTGTCTCCCGGTTCGGCGCAGCGCACGCCCTGGAGCGCCCGGGAGACAGAGCTGCTGCTGGACACGCTTCTGGAGCCGCCCGTATGGCGCTCGCTGCTGCTCGACCGCCGCCAAGCGCTGCCCACCTACCGCCGCGTGTCGGCCGCTCTGGCCCGCCAGCAGGTGCGGCGCACGCCCGCGCAGTGCCGTCGCCGCTATAAGTTTCTCAAGGACAAGGTCCGCGACGCCGAAGGCCAGCCCCCGGGACCCTTCGACGCACAGATCCGCGAGCTCATGGCGCTGCTGGGTGACCACGGGCAGAAGCGCAGCCGCCGCCGCTCTCCAGGTCCAGGGCGTCCCCCACGCGGCCGCCGCCCGGCCCCCAGCGCGCCAGCCCCGGACCAGCCAGGTAGGGCTTGGGGACCCCGGGGGACACCGAGGGATGGGGGAAGGCGACGCGGGGCCCCGGTTTGCCGACGCGAGCCCGACTCCATGTTCCCAGACGCCATCCCGCTGCCGGCCGAGCGCGACCCAGACGCGGAACACAGCTGGACGCTCCGGTTCAGCCCGACTCCGCCGATGTCTGGGGGCGCCTCCCGCGCTCCCGAGTCGCCGCCGCCACTCGGCCCGGCGGCCACTTGCGCCTCCGAGGTCGCAAACCCACTGCCCGCTCTGCCCCCGGAGCCTGAGCCCGCTCTGGCCCCGTCGCCGGCCCCCAGCCCCACCGAGGAAGAACCGGAACCGCCGTCCGGCTGCCCTGGGCAACGTACGCCCCCTCACGCGGCCTCCTCGCTGAACGACGCCCTTCTGCAAACCCTGGGGCACTTGGGTCACATCGCGGCCACCCTGGGCCCGCTGCGCGACCAGCTGCTGACCCTGAACCAGCACGTGGAGCAGCTGCGCGGCTCCTTCGACCAGACCGTGTCCCTGGCGGTCGGCTTCATCCTGGGCAATGCTTCTGTGGAGAGGGGCTTTCTGTCCGGCCCGCGGCTGTGAGCCACCGACGCACCCCCTTCCTCCCGGATCCCTCGCGCGCCCCACCCCCATCCCGCTCCGTTACATTCAAATAAAAGTTGTTTTCCCGCGTGCGCCTGTAGCTGTGTACACACCTGCAGCCCGGCCGGAAAGACCCCCTACTGGTAGGGCCGACCTTGTGGGCGGGCCTGGTCTATGGACTTTTTGAAGGTCGAGACAAGGTTAAAACTCCAGGTGCCGGGGAGGGGCTGCTGCACACTGGGGGAGGGGGGAGCCAAGTGGCCCACTGCATAGCTGCCTCCCGCCCCCCAAGAGGGCGGAGGGAACAACTAGTTCAGTCACCGGATGGTATTGCCTGCCGCGTTCCGGGTCTGCTCAACTCCGGCCGCCCCAGGGTGGGTAACCTGGGTACGAACTTAGCAGGGAAGTGGGTGGGTGGGAGAGCTGGAAGTCTGCGGTGCATGTTGCAGGCACGGGGTGTGCATGGTGGTTCTTGACCTCGGCTTGCCAGCCATCTGGCAACCTAAACCCGAGGGGCTTGGGGCGAGGTGACGCTCCAGGTGTCTGAGGAAGGGATGGGCCTGTTCTCCAGGAAATTGCCTGCAGCTCTGAATGGCCCACCCTTGGTGGGGGCGGGGCAAAAGTGAAGACTTGGAAACCTACCCTCCGGGAGAAGGAATCTGCATGACAATGCCGCCAAGCGCCCGGCCCCGTTTTGCACATAATGGCCTCGTCTCCTGAAGGGTCTGCGGAGTCCGGAGGGCTCCAGGTGGTGATGGGCCCGCCGCCCTGCCCCCATGCCCCTCAGCAGTTTGTGGAGGGCTGGAGGCAACCCAGGAATGTTAGCCTGCACCCCCCCAAATTCCCTGAGACCCTGAGTGTGCTCCCACTCAGTTCTCAAGTCCCACCCCTTGGGAGACACCCAACTTACAGGAGGTGCTTCTGCACTGCTAGCAAAAGAACCCCCCGCCCCCCCTGCCCATGCCAGGGAGTGGGCTCCTGTGACCTGCCAGGACACTGACTAATAAGGACTTTATATGGAAAAATGTGTTCCTTGGGACTGTAGCAGGTGGTCTGACTCTCAGCCACGGTCTCCCTTGCTCTCCGAACTTGGTGGTGTGCCCAGAGGTCCTGAGCCTGTTCCCACGGGTGACAGAGCCACATGCTCAATGAGTACCAGTGTTAGGCACCATCTGTCCCCCTCCTTGAGGGCCTGCACTCTGAGCAATGGCTGCAGTGCTTGAAGCCTATCCTGTTGCTCACTCCCCACCTGCCTGGCTTGCCCCTGCCCCATTCCCAGCATCCATGGTGTCTTTGGTCCTTTGGGCTGACGAGCACCTTGCCCTAGCTGTGCCCACCCTCTGTTTAGCCTACACTAGGCCTCGTAACCATCATGATCTGGTGGGTCCTGCCGATTTGGCGGGGAGGTGGTGGTGGTGGTGGGGTCCTGGAGGAAGTGTGACTGATGATGAGCCGAGGCTGGCTGAGCCACTGATCACATTCAAACCCGTTGCCCTCATTGCATGCTCCTGAAGTGGGCTTTTTTTAGGGACTCTGGTGTTGGGTGTAAAAGACACCTAACCAAGAGCTTTCTCCACTTGGTCAGAGTGCCCACCTGTATCCCAGACGCCCACACAAAGCTGCTGTTGGGCCGCGGCTCTTCCACTTGATTTCCGCTGTTTTGAAAGGCGACATCCTTGTCTCCCCCCAAACAAAGCTCAGAAATAAGAAGGAGCGAGGAAGATGGGCGAGTGTCAGAGAACTCCAGCTCGCAGTGATCTGGGCACACTGCATGAACTGTCACCCAAACCACACCCACATGTTGACACAAAACCACAGACTCAACCTGACCTGCTGGGCAGCTCTGTGCCTCTGAGCGGAACCAGGATCCGTTGTCAGTAGCTGATTTTTGAGACCATGGTGTCGAAGCAGTGCAACTAACCCCAAGTGTGTGGTTCCAAGCCACCAGCCACTCCACAGGAGCAAGATGAGACCCAACTCCAAAACTCACAGCCCAGACACCCAAGAGAGTCAAGAGAGTCGTTGAGATGGACTGATCGGCTACAGTGGGTTCAGGTTGTTTCTTGGCAGGCCTTTCATCCGAGGCACCTCTGGCAACCTCGACTCTGCCCTTCCAGGGTGCAGACAGTTCAGGGTACACCATCCAGAACCCTCCAAGCACTGGTCCCCCGGCACTTTTGAATGTCTAAGATTACCCCTGACCCAAGGAATTGGCTATCTGTGTGCTCTGAGGCAGTATTTGGAGCGTGTCTTGCGCATCTTGCCTGTGGGTGCGAACCTTAGCCAGCCTGGACTGGCCTTTCCTGCTAGGTGCCACTCCAACAGCCTGTCAGCTGGCTGAACCAGTCCCTAGGCACTCCTGACCCCATGTAGGGAGGGCTTGTTCAGGTTGGACCCCAAAGGGACAAAGAAGGTACCTCCAAATATCTAACTTGGGCAGAGGTGGGGACCAATGGGGTAGAAGTAGAATCAGCTCTTACTGCTTCCCCGGAAACAAGAGAGGGCCTGGGTACTCCACCAGTGTGGACATGCAGACCAGCCATCCCAGAATCCTTGGCCTACCTGCGGCCTCTTGGGAAGCCAAGACCCCCAGCCCACCAGCACCTCCTCCCAGCCACTTCCCCCACCTGGAGGAGCTGGCCTAGGGTGGCAGGTATGATGGGGTGGTCACATGGTAGTTTGGCTGACATGAGCGCGCAGGCAGCCACCAAGGGCTAAAGGAAGAGAGAAGTGTCGGGTTGCCCTGCTTGGAGAAGGGACTGTTATGGGAGGGAAGCAGCAGCCCAGAAGCCTCCAGAAGGATGGGCAGTAGGCAGGTGGGAAGGACAGTTTGGGATGTGCAAGCTTGGCTTTGGAAGTGTGCATTGCGGATAAGGGTTCCCTCAGATCTTGAACAGGATTTGAGACGGTACCCATGTGGGAGAGTTAGGGATTAAGCATGAAGCCAGGGGTCCCGTGTGTCACTGCTCCCGTCCCATGACAGGCAGCTTGGAGGGCTGGGGGGTTGGGTTGCCCCCTCAGCCCAGGGCACTGCTGGGAAGCCATCGGTCATCAGTGTCTCAGCTTGGGGGGGGCCTTGTGGGAAGGAAGGGGCGCCCTGGTACAGAACAGGAAAAGCTGGGTGGGGGAAGACCCGCTGTTGTCAGGGAGCTGCTGAGAATCACTGAGGACCCCAGACCCTGCTGAGCAAGGAAGAAGGGAGGGTGCAGCTGACTCCCGTGGCAACTTGGTTGGGGCCACTTAGGTGAGTGAGAGTGCTAGCCAGAGGCCGGAGCAGGGTCCTGTGTGGAGCTAGGGAAGCAGAGGCAGGAGGGGTATAGATGAGCCCCCACGGGAGGGGGGCGTGCAGAGGAGGGGCAGGAAGACAGAAAACAAAGGCTGCCTTAGGTAAATGTGAAATTAACTAACGTGAAAAGGAATAGAGTACAAATGCAAAAATTCCCCTAAAAGTGATGCTTAACTGGCCTTCTCCAGCCAGTTTGGGGCACTGGCTAATTACGGGGGCAGGGGTAACACACCCAAAGAGAAGTGCTGGGGTGCAGGTTGAACCTGCCAGCTGTCCTGTAAGGTCACTATAACCTACTCAGTTGGTTTGGGATCACCTCCAGGAGCACCAGGTTCTGGGATGGCTGGTCGGCTGGTCTGTGGAGTGGGACCTGGGTCCCCAGCCCTCTCTTGTTTCTGGGGAAGCAGTAAGAGCCAGTTCTACCTCTGCCCCATCAGTCCCCACCTCTGCCCAGGTTAGAGACTTGGGGGCACCTCCATTGTCCCTTTTGGGTCCAACCTGAACAGGCCCTCCCTACGATGGGTCAGGAGTGGAGGGGTCAGGAGTGCCCAGGGATTGGTTCAACCAGCTGGCAGGCTGTTGGAGTGGCACCTAGCAGAAAAGGCCAGTCCAAGCTGGCCAGGGTTCGCACCCATAGGCAAGTTGCAGAGGTTAAAGTGCTCAGCTGCTACAGGGACTCATCTCTCAGGGCCTTCTGATGGGCTCCCAGTGAGTCTGCAGGGTGAGGGTGGAACGCCCCACGCCATGGGTGTCAGAGACGGTAACTCTTCACGGGAACAGAAAGCCTTGTCTTTCTCCCTCCCTCGGAGTGGCTGAAGGTTTCAAACTGTGAAACTTGCAAACCCATTAGTTCCTGGGAGCTCCCTGAAGCCACTGCTCCATTTTGATACAGCCCTGGTGACTGCGGGTGGTCCACAGCACTCCTAGGCAGTGAGACGACCCTCTTGTCCATCACACCCACCACCTCCCCCTCCCCTCTACTTCTAGAGCAGCGGTTCTCAACCTGTGGGTCAAGACCCTTTTGGGGGTCAAACAACCCTTTCACAGGGGTCGCCCGATTCATAACAGTAACAAAATGACTGTTATGAAGTGGTAACGAAAATAATTTTATGGTTGGGGGTCACCACAACATGAGAAACTGTATTAAAGGGTCGCGGCATTAGGAAGGTTGAGAACCACTGTCCTAGAGCCTCCCAGATCTTGAGGAGGTGCACCCCTGCAGGGGCAGCGCCCCAGACTGGCTGGCGCGGTTCCTGAGAGGAGGGCCTATGTGAGGTTAGGGACACCCCACTGGCCCCTCTGGACTCCCACCGGACATTTACAAGTGGAACTCCTGCAGGTGTTCGGTGGGCTTTTGAAATGGGCCTGGTGGGTGGGTGTCAGGGTCCCTTGGGGGCTGGCAAAGGCTGGTTCAGGCACCCTCTCTAAAAGGGCCTTGAACTCACCCCAACTGCACTGGCAACAATGCTGAGTTGGCACAGCCAGAGGTAGCCCTCCCTCCCCCTCTCAGCCCACCTCCAGGTGCGCCCAGGACCCCTAGGGCTGGTATCTAAGGCTCTGTAGCATCAACTCTGTAGGGCCAGTCTGACAGCACGACCCCGGGGCACTCTCTGGGGGCAGGTACGGGGGGGTGGGGGGTGGGGTGGTGGTGGTGGTGTGTGTAACAGAGCCCATCAGCTGGACCCTGATTGATGACTATGTCATCCTAGTCACCTCTCCAAGGCCGCCACAATCTCCAAGCCAG